CCTGCTTAGCTTCCGAGATCTGACGAGATCGGGCTAGCCTGGGCTATCCAGGTCAGGGCAGGTAAAAGGATGTGTTTATAGCAGAGCAATTTTTTAATGGTGTGTGTGGTTAAAGGCAGCATGGTGCAGTGGTTAAAGTGTCAGACGAGGATCTGGGGAACCCAGGTTCGAATCCCCACCCTGCCATGGAAGCTTGCTGGATGAGCTAGAGCCAGTCACACACTCTCAGCCTGTGACCTACCTCACAGGGTTGTTGTGAGGATAATGCGGAGCAAAGGAGAATCACGTAAGCCAACTTGGGTCCCTGCTGGGGAGAGAGGCGGGATGTAAGTCGAGTAAGCAAATAAATCCTGGTTATTATTTTGTGGTAATTAATGGATCATCAATTAATGGATAATTGATGGATAATTACAACTTATGTTTAGTTTTGTTTTATACATGCATTGGGAGGCTTGTTTACCTTTTGTGTATTTGAAGTAGTGTGGAAGATCAGGAAACGGTGCAATGGGTGTCCCAATCTTTAAATCATAGAGAAAGCGGAAGGGGGTGGGACTCTGACCCATAGGAAAAATGGACCCTCTAAATGTGGGCCAAGCTGGAGCCATTACTTCCGTAGAAAGCAGACAGCCCATTTTCTGAGTCAGACTCCAGGTGGTAAAACAACAATTTTCTAGTCCTCAGTATATAATGCAATGTACTGGCAGTTGGAGCTGCGGTGACTCAAGTGGTTAAAACGCTGAACTGCAAGCTGTGGAAGGTTGGTAGTTCAGCAGTTCGAGACCCAGGGTGCCGCATGACGGAGTGAGCTCCCGTCTCTGGTTCCAGCTCCTGCCAACCTAGCAGTTCGAAAGCAAGAAATTGCAAGTAGATAAATAGGTACCACTTCGGTGGGAAGGTAACAGCGTTCCGTGCGCCTTAGTGTTTAGTCATGCCGGCCACATGACTACGGAAACGTCTTCGGACAGCGCTGGCTCTTCGGCTTGGAAACGGAGATGAGCACCGCAACCCTAGAGTCGGATTCGACTGGCTTTCGAGCAAGGGAACCTTTACCTTTTACTGGCAGTCGATCGTTGGGAGGCACTTGAACCAGAACATGAGGAATGTACCATGTTGGTCCTGATTTCTCTCCTCCTGTGCCGTTATCAAAAGTTGATTTAGTAGGGAAGTGATGGACATTGTGAGTTGGAAAGTCCCTGGTTCAGATCTTCACGAACTCACTCGGTGGCCCTGAGGCATGGCGTGGGAATCTTGCTCACTACTGCCCCCCGTCTGCAATACAGAGACAGCACCGCTGATCGATCTTGAAGGGCTGTTATAACAATGGCTCACTAGCACACCGCTGATCGATCTTGAAGGGCTGTTATAATGATGGCTCACTAGCACACACACCATGTTTTGAAAGAAAACTTTGAGTCGATGCTAAGTTATTAGCAAGAAATAAAGACAGCAGTGCTAAGACTACCCACCGTGATTGATGATTCCTCTTGAGTTATTATTACTACCAATCAGTTGAAACGTACATTCAAATCGTGAATGAGTTCTCTCTCTAAAACTGTTGGGAAGAGCAAAGGCCAGCCTTAAGTGGCTGAAAGTTCCAAAGGTTCAAGAACAGAATTTGGGGGTTGCTAAATACAAAGGAGTCTTGGGGGCAGTGATGCTCTGCATTCTTGGTGCTTGGGGGCCAGCAGTGGGAGGGCTTCTGGAGTTCTGGCCCCACTGGTGGACCTCCTGATGGCACCTGGATTTTGGCCACTGTGTGATACAGAGCGTTGGATGGGATGGACCATTGGCCTGATCCAACATGGCTTCTCTTATGTTCTTATGTCTGGGGCAAGTGATGCTCTGTATTCTTGGTGCTTGGGGGGCAACAGTGGGAGGGCTTCTAGAGTTCTGGCCTCACTGGTGGACCTCCTGATGACACCTGGGTTTTGGCCACTGCATGATTGATTATTCCTCTTGAGTTATTATTACTACCAGACAGTTGAAACGTATATTCAAATCGTGAATGAGTTCTCTCTCTAAAATTGTTGGGAAGAGCAAATGCTAGCCTTAAGTGGCTGAAAGTTCCAAAGGTTCAAGAATAGAATTTGGGGGTTGCTAAATTCAAAGGAGTATGGGGGCAGTGATGGTATGCATACTTGGTGCTTGGGGGCCAGCAGTGGGAGGGCTTCTGGAGTTCTGGCCCCACTGGTGGACCTCCTGATGGCACCTGGATTTTGGCCACTGTGTGATACAGAGCGTTGGATGGGATGGACCATTGGCCTGATCCAACATGGCTTCTCTTATGTTCTTATGTCTGGGGCAATGGTGCTTGGGGAGGTCAGCAGTGGGAGGGCTTCTGGAGTTCTGGCCTCACTGGTGGACCTCCTGATGGCACCTGGGTTTTGGCCACTGCATGACACAGAGTGTTGGACTGGGTGGACCGTTGGCCTGATCCAACATGGCTTCTCTTATGTTCTTATGTCTGGGGCAAGTGATGCTCTGTATTCTTGGTGCTTGGGGGGCAACAGTGGGAGGGCTTCTAGAGTTCTGGCCTCACTGGTGGACCTCCTGATGACACCTGGGTTTTGGCCACTGCATGACACAAAGTGCTGGACTGGGTGGACCATGGGGCTGTTCCAACATGGCTTCTCTTGTGATTTTATGTTAGTGGGCAAAGGAAGGGCCTAGTGTGGCCAATAGCAAGGCGGCCACCATGCGGCATTTCCTGTTTCTAGTTTTTAAGAACCACCCTCGGTACTCTCCTGTCTTGCCCCAAATACCAGCCTGGCTAAATGGTGAACTGTCTCTCGGATCCTCCCACCTGCTTTCTTTCAAGTTCTCACTTGCCTAGCCAAATTATGGCACACGGCGTCTCCTCCACCCGGAGATGGCCTCATCTCATACTTTAAATGAACGCCTAGTCACTGCTGCCTCTGAGAACTTGGAACTCCTGATTCCATTGTTAAGTTGCTGCTTATGGGGAGTGTGATCAATAGGGTTGTCAACTTCAGCTCCTCCATTAGCATGTTTCACAGCCTGGGGGACGCCTACATGACAATGACGCAGCCCTACCCCACCTTCCTGATGTTGTACATATTAGATTCCATGTCAAAAATGAAGTCAAATGAGGAGGGAGTTCTTGTATTTTATTGCAATGAAATACAGAAAACAGTTAGGCCAAAGGACCCATCAAAACTGACTGCTATCTTCTGAGCATATTCAGGAAAAAATGCCTCAATTAATAGGAAAACAATTAGACCAAATAGTTAACCAAAAATTGACAACTCGCTTCTTTTTCTTCATCTTCTTCTTGAACATATTCAGGAAATACATGATATTTTATACATGGACTGACATCATCAAGAAAACAATATTCAAACAGCATAAGTGGTTAAAAAAGACAGTGGTAATTTGAGTAATATTCCTCTGATTGGCCAGATATAAAGAAACATATCTACGTCAAACTAAGTGTTTACTTAACCTAACCTAAATTATGATGGGCAAGGATTCTTCATATCAGACTAAAATCTTATCTGACCAAGACATTGAAAGGTTTGCCCTAAGAACTACAGAATCATGAACTTTGTACCTATTAAGTTGTCTAACAATATCAGACCTACAAGAGGAAAGCCTTCTATATAACAGACCTTTCTAACATCCTAATAAAATATTACTTAAAGAACAAATCTATAAAAACCAGAGAAATATGAATATGAACAATCAAGAAGGAAAAAAACCTATATATGAAAATCTTTATATTCCCATTCATACTACACTGAGTAGATCTAAATGACCTGCCTCCCATTTTTCTCCTCACCTTGACACAGAGAGTCCTCCGTCTTTCTGTGTTATATACCTCTGAGGATGCCAGTCGTAGCTACTGGCGAAACGTCAGGTCCTACAATGCCAAGACCACGGCCAGACAACCCGGAAAATCTACAACCGCTAGTAATATGATTAATAATAGTATTTATGATGTGCAAAAACCATAAAACAGAACAAGATAAATTCGGAGGCAGGGGCAAGCAGTGGCAGACCACCTCTGAACATCTCTTCCCTTGAAAACCTTATGGGATCAGCATATATCGGCTATGACTTGATACCCTCCCCCTAAAAAAAGCTAGAATAAAAATCTTGTTGTATTAAGCAATGAGCATGCAAGCAAAATCAAGTCTTGAAAACTGAAGCGCCAGAGATAGTACTTGTGGTATCCAATGCAAAGATTCCACGGGGAGGGGCTTGCTGCTGCCATGGGATGCCCTTCCAAGGTAGCCCTCCGGGCTAGGCGGGTTGCCCAATCTTAATCATGCTGGGAAGTTTGGGGCTTTAACTGCTCTGTGACAGACAGACATCCACCAGGTGTGGCTTTCGCGATCAACTTCTCCCCATGCTGGGGGCAGGTGCACCAGTGGAATGTTTGCCTATCCGTGGAGCTACTGTGGGAATTGGAGCCCTGGTAGAGGCAAAAAGATGGAAGTTTTAGGGCTGGGGAAGTTAAGTGAAGAGTAGAAGCTAGGGTAGACTGGGGGAACCCAGGTTCAAATCCTGACTCTGCCACAAAGATTACTAGGTGAGCCAGTCGCTTTCTCCGAGACTGATTTCACACAAGCCTTGCCCCAGGCTCACTCTTCCATTTCCCTTGGCTGTTCTGTTCAATTTCCCACCGTTAGACACATGGCCGCTTTTGGACCCGCATAATTGCTGGTTTCCCCCATGTCTTCTCGATCCTTGTTTTCTGAGAAGATTCCCAGTTGCCTCGCGGAGAAGCCAAAATGCCCACACCCCTTTTCCATGCCCACTTGCCCGCCTTCCATCTGCCCCCTCCCCCGTGTTGGTTAAACTTTTGCGGGTTGTTGTGAGGGTACATAGCAGAGCATCAGCCCTTTGCAGGATAGGAGAGAGAAAAGATATTTATTTTATTTAAAATATTTCTATGCCTGCTTGCCTGTCTCCCAGGCATGTATGTTATAACCATAACCATAATATCTTCATAATTAATTCTCTTCCTTCTCTTCTAGCTTTTTGCCTGCAGTGCAATACGTGCCAAGGAGAATATGACTGCGTTGGAGAAACCGTCACGTGCAAAGACCCCTGGGCCAGCTGCACCACATCTGTCCGCAAGGCTTCAGTTTGTACGTATGATCCGTACTGATGCTTAAAGGCATTCCTTGTAAAGGATCGTTTCTTCTATAAACAGATTTTCTAAAATTCAAGCAGCCATGTTAGACAACTTGGTGGGGGGATACAAATAGGATCAGTGGGTAGGGTTGCCAGATGGTTTCAATGAAAATACGGGGTGCACTCGATAAAGAACTTGTTGACCGATATATAGAGTTTTTGGCAATTCCTAGAACTACCCTTTGTCACTTCAGGGTAGCTCTAGGAATCACTGGGAACTCTATGATAAGGAATTTCCTGTAACCTGGCAACTCTACTGCCGAGCGGTGGATTTGGTTATTTTTAAACCTTGCTGAATGCAGTGAAGAAGAAGCACAAAGGAAAGAAAAGCACACTTTCTGTGGAGGTTGTAGGCTTGCTTAATTAGAAAAGACTGGACATTTATATTCCCGGATTTTCTCAGTTTACTTACTGAAGAGAAAGGGCAAACACTGGACTGTCCAGGTTAAAACTGGACACCTGGCAATCCTAGCAGTAGGATTGTTTAGGACCACACAACAGAGTGAGGAAGCTTTTGAGTTTCACGGACGTCTTTCTCAGGCTTGATGACAGAAAAAGACAATGAAAAGGCGGGGTAGAAATCCCTTGTCGAATCCTCCTTCCTGAAATGTTATGGTCTGAAGACAGGGCATAGCAAACTCTCACAGTGGGCCAAGTCAGAGGAGGTGCTTACTGACATATGGTGGGGAACCAAGCACACCTTACATTCGTGCCCATCTGGCATCCCTAATAGGTTGCCAGTAATTAGGGTTGCCAGCTCTGGGTTGGGAAATCCCTGGACATTTGGGGGATGGAGCCTTGGGAGGGTGGGGTTTGGGAAGGTGAGGGACTTCAGTGGGGTATAACGCCATAGGGCTCACCTTCCAAAGCACCCATTTTCTCCAGGTGAACTGATCTCTGTCCCTCTTGAGATCGGTTGCAATCCCAGGAGATCTCCAGCTACCACCTTGAGGTTGGCAACCCGACCTTTTTACCCCATTAATCAGAATGCCCTCTTGAAGAGCTCTGTTCTACCAATTCTGGGAAATGACAGACGTGCGGGAGCCTTCCTAACCAGGCCAGGTAGCCATAGGCTGTTCCGCAAGGCGGGAGCACCAACAGAGGTATGATTGGTTACAGTACTTGGGCCCTCAGGTAAAACATACAGGGGGTGAGACATACAGGAAACCTATAGGCATTGTGGCGGCTTAGAAAGCAGAGCCCGGTTCCTCAGCCCCGAGCGAAGCCGAGGGTACCATTCCCGGAACCAATTTAAATGTGGTCATCTCCAGGGGTCGTTTTGTAGAAAAAGAGCTAGGGGAACTCATTAGCATAACTCATTAGCATATGCCACACCCCCTGACATCATAAGGCCCAGTGGTGGACCTGCAAGGCCGGCGGGAGTGTGGGGAAGCCCCACCAAGGCCCTCCCTGGCCCCAGGCAGGCAGGGGTGGGGAGAGACGGGGAGGAAGCAACTTACACTCCCTCTTCATCTGCCGCTGAATGAGGGCCGAAAGCGGGGCGGCCGGAAGCAAGGGGTGGGGCTTCGTCATGTGCCCCCCCCGCACCTCACCCGGGGGAACTGCGATCCCCCGCGATCCCCCCCCGAATCGACCTCTGGTCCTCTCACAGATGCAACCAGGCCACCTTCCCATTGTTTTGGAACTGTTTGAGAATATGAAGAAGAGGAGGAAGAAGAGTCGGTTTTTATAACCTGCTTTTCTCTACCTTAAGGAGTCTCAAAGCGATGGTATCTAACCCCTGATAGACTTGCATGCTACTATTCAAATTCTTCTGACAAATTTTGGAAGTGCAAAACTGAAATAGACTCCTTTTATCACGTTGGGTAGACATGTGAAAAAATTAAAAAATGTTGGAAAGAAATTAATAACATTATAGTGCAGATAATGAATATTAATTTACCGTTTGAACCAGAAATGTTATTATTGAACATTATGCCAGCTATACTAAAGAAGGAAGATGCCTATCTATGTACGCACTTGGTAATAACAGCAAGAATGATACTTGCTAAACACTGGAAGAAAGAAGACTGTCCGACTCAGAATGATTTTATAACCAAGATTTTAGAAGTAGTAGAAATGGACAATCTGACCTTGAAAATTCGCGGAAGAGAAGACGGGACTTTTCAAAATAGTTGGCAAAATTTTTATGAGTGGTTGGCAATGTTCCCTTGTGAGCAAAAATTCTACTCTTGTGAAATACTGGCATTAAAGTTGTGAGTGAGTGATTTGGCTACTACATAAATTAGATTGTTCTGGAGCCATCTTTCCTGAGCTAAGACAAAAATGTGTGAGCCGGAGGCTAAAAAACTGTGAGCTAGCTCACACTAACTCAGCTTAGAGGGAACACAGGTGGTTGGACTCACATTCACAGACAGTTTAAGCATTTCTTTGTACTTATAATCTAAAATTTATGTATATCCGGAGAAGGATCTTTTAAAAAATTTAATATTCAAGTGTTTGTTGGTGGAGGGTGGTTGGGGTTAAAACAATAAAAATAAGGGCTTGGCCCGTTTTAAAAAAAAACGAGTCTCAAAGTGGCTTACAATCGCCTTCCCTTCCTCTCCCCACAACAGGCACCTTGTGAGGTAGGTGGGGCTGAGAGAATTCTGAGGGAATGGTGGCTGGCCACAAGGTCGCCCTGAAGGTTTCGTGTGGAGGAGTGAAGAATCAAACCACTACTCTTAACCACTACACCACACTGGGTGAAACATGTCACCAGTTTCTAACACGGGGAGGGGGGAAAATCTCGACCTGTGCTTCGGGTATCGACGATGAGTTAGCAAGAAGGCAACCCCTGAAGGGTATTTCTATTTTCCAGCATTCATGGACTTCCAAACCGTTAAGAAAGGCTGCGCCCGCCAGCTGTACCCGCACCAATCCATCTCCCTGAACTCGCATATGATGTCTCTTTCGTATCAGTCGCGGTTCTGCTCCGAGGACGGGTGTAACAATGAGACCTATTTCGGTGAGTCCTGTCGCCGGTGCCAAAAATTGAAACGGGAAGTGAGGGGTTCCGCTCAGTCCCAAAACTGGGGGGTTTTAAGGACCAGAACGGGCAGGTGGGATTTCTCAGGAAAGTTCACGACACTACACAGTTGCCGCTCAAGTTCATTCACTGTGGGATTTCAAGAAGTTAGGAAAGGGTCTGGCTGAGGGGGAGGCATTGGCAGCAGGCCCGTAGCTACAGTGAGGCATCTCGAGGCCGGGGGCCCCGACTTACCACCTAGGCCTGCCAACTTTTTATTTTATGTTTTCGCCAAGCCATCACCCTGCCTTGCGAGTGCCAACAAGCCCGGCAGCTGGTAGAGGTAGCCCTGATGGTAGGACATGGCTGGTTGCTAACTGGGTGGAGAGGATCTCCACTGAGGATCTCTCAGCCTCACCGCCATTATCACAGCCTCCTGGTTGTCTCGGCCCCCCAGTAGGGAATGCCAGCGAGGCTAAAATCCTAGAGAGGCCGCCAGGAAAGCAGGGTGGGGAGGCTACTTCCTTCCCTCCTGGAATGTGCAGGTGAGGAATCAGCCTTTCTTGTTCTCAAACATACAAAGCAGCACCAGCTCCTCCCGGGTAAGTCAAAGGCTATCCCGGGGCAGGTTGGCTCACGGGTGTGTGTGCGGGGGTGCCCCCGACTTATTTAAATGCCCCCGAAGGGAAAAATAATCCCAGCCACACCCCTGATTTGTAGACACAAGGGGCTTTTCTGCGTTCTCACTTTCCTTGTATGTTTCTGTTGCTTCAGGGATTATTTTTCCCCCTGTTCTGCATAGGCTTTCCTCCCTCTAGTGGCTGATTCTATATTATATCACTATACGTCCAGCATATCTCTGCACACATTTAAACTGCAGGTTTTTATTCCGGAGATAAAGTGGTGTAATATCAAATCGACCTCTAGAGGGAGCAAAACGCATGCAGGACAGACCTTCCCCCTAAGCAACAGGATCTCATAACTGAGGAAACTGAGAATGCAGAAAAGCCCTGGGAGGGAAAAGAATATCATTGATATCTGTCATGGGGGGGGGGAGATTTATTTATTGAACAATTTTAAAGCTACCCTTCTCGAGGGAGCATCCACAATCTCCCTCCCCCTCCCACTGCCATTGTTTTTATCTTCACAATAATCCTGTGGGATAGGTTAGGCTGAGACGGTAACTGACTTATTTTGAGCAAGGATTCGAACCCAGACCTCCGTGGTCCAAGTTGGACTCTTCATCCACAATACACCACCCTGGATTAAAGGCTCAGAGTTCCATACTTGTTCCCCCCTAGCCCGAAGCTACCTGGAGAGAGTGCATCTCAGCAGCAGACGGTCCCAATCCTTTTCAGAGCTGTCTGTTTTCTGCTCAGTTCCCCCTTCTCTATGCTACTTTTTCATTCTTTGGAACTCGGGAAACGTGGTTTGCAGAGAGTGCTTTTAAGCAGAAGCGGAACAGGAGGAGGGAAGGAGGAAGAGGTCTTTCTCTGTCCTCTCAAAGGCAAATTTATCCTGGCTCCTTTGTTATTTAAAAAACAGAGTCTAGAATATCAGACTTGATGAAAGTTCATCTGATCCAGAGCAAATATGTTGCATCTAGCACAGGGGACTTGCGTGCCCTTGAAGACTTTTTTTCATGTGATGAATGGCCACAACTAGTTCGTCACAAGCACAGGTTGGCAAAGGATACTCAGGGCGATTCTGCATTGGCTTTTCCCTCCGTTGTTTTACAAAACCCACCTTGGAACAGAAATTCCCCTCTGCATTGCACACTGCGTTCGCTTTCTTTGATCATCAGATTTCATGGTACCCTCTGCATTGCATGCCGCTTTTGCTTTCCTTGATCATCGGGTTTTATGGTACCCTCTGCATTGCATGCCGCTTTCACTTTCTTTGACCATTAGGTTTTATGGTACCCTCTGCATTGCATGCTGCTTTCACTTTCCTTGATCATCGGGTTTATGGTACCCTCTGCACTGCATGCCACTTTCGCTTTCCTTGACCATCGGGTTTTATGGTACCCTTTGCACTGCATGCCGCTTTTGCTTTCCTTGATCATCGGGTTTTATGGTACCCTCTAGATTGCATGCCACTTTTGCTTTCCTTGACCATCGGGTTTTATGGTACCTTCTGCATAGATTTATGGCCATGGCCATTTAGGGGTGACTTTGCAGTCAGTACACCAGTGTCCCGAGGTATTTGAATGTGGTTTTGAGCTGCACTTTTTCCTCCCAGTTGAGAAAATGGGAAGCGAATGTTAGATGCAGAATTCTCTCTGTGCCCTTCCCCTGTTGCCGCTTCCCTTCTGAGACCCATAGTGACCCCTGTCTGTCTCCCTGCAGTCTCCCATCCTCCCCCTGCCAACCACATGCGTTGTCACACCTGTGGAACCCAGGGCGCATGGTGCCCCGAAGGTGCCCGCAGTCAGATCAGCTGCGTCGGAGACCAGGACCAATGTGTGAACCTTGACGTCACCGGACACATGGGTAAGTAGGAGGGGGTAACAGGGGCATTTGGGGGAGAGGAGGAAGGATAGACGGATACAGTGGGAAGGAGATGAATGGCAGGACATAGCAGGAGGAGGAGCTGTCAATGGGAGATGTTGGGTGTAAAGCAGAGACATGCTTGGTGAAATTAGAAACACAGGATGGAGTTTTCTACATACTTTTATACCTTCCGCACCCAAAAGGTGTCCGCATGAGGCAGTGTTCCAGGGCATGAAAACAAGAAGTTAACGGAAAGAAGGCAACGCATCCAAAGCTAAAAGGGTTGCCAATCCCGGGTTGGAAAATTCCTAGAGATTTGGAGGTGTTGCCTGAGCGAGGCAGGAATTAGGCAAGGGAGGAAGCTCGGCAGGATACAATGCCGCCAAGTCTGCCCACCAAATCAGCCCTTTTCTCCAGGGGAGCCACTCTCTGCAGTCTGGAGCTCACTTGTAATTCTGGGAGATCCCCAAACCCCACTTGGAGGTTGGCAGCCGGACAGTGAACGCTCCTGATCTTGGCACACTGGACCACAATGATAGCCCTGAAGCAGGAGGAGGGGCTCCAAAGCGGGGGATCCCCCGCCCCCAACTGGGGATTGGCAGTCCCAGATATGTGCCAACATGGAAGGCCATGTGCTGTGAGTGAGAGGAGAAAGGGAGAGGAGGGGTCAGAGGGCAGCTCCCAGGTTAAGACAAAGAGAAACATCTCATTCAAGGAGAGAACACCTACACACCCTTAGAGCGACATAGTGACCACCAATGTCCAGGCATGCTGAGTTGCTCTCTCCCGCACTTAAGCCCTGGTCAGCCGTCCATGGAGGAAGTAGAAATATCCGGATAATAACAAACCCAGCATTGTTGTTAGACGTGGGATGTGCTCTCGTTCAAACTGTCGGAAGTCCCAGATGCGACGTCCCCCGTCTCAGACCTCCAGACTGAGTGGCAAGAGAGACTAGATAGCTAGACAGGTGTTAAGTTGCTCGCTTAACAAAGAAGTCGGAGAGTAGCAAGAACACAACTTTATTCTTCCACTCGAACACAACTCCAACACGGATCGACATCTGATAGCCAGAACAGAACAGTTCAACTTTTACATTGCAGTTGTCCTGCTTTTAAACTCTCCCAGCTAATGTAGCTACACCCACTGTACAAATACCAACCAATACGGTTGTTCATATAAGGACCAATCACGGACGTTCCCGCTCAGGGAGCTTGCTGTAAAGTGATTGGCTAGGTGCTTCCTGGGCTAGCAATGCGATTGGATGGATTTGGATCCTAGCCCAGGACGAAGCTCAACATGGCAAGTCGATTAGATGTTTCACATACATCATGCATTCAATGGCAGCTATTGAATACATTACAACAGGCACACAAGCCTTTCTTCCTGTATCTACTCTTCTGCCACTGTCCTCTTTGAAATGCAGATTGTGTCCTCAGGGATCAATTTCCCCTTCCTCCTCCTCTCTCACTCTGGATGAAGACATGCTCTCTCCCTGCATACACCGAGAGAGGGACACGCGGTCCTCTCTTGGCACCATGAGGCAGACAGGGAGGACTGGTTTTCACTTTCAATTATACGTTGTGTTCACAAACAGGGTAGTTTCTGCTGCCACCAGGACTTTAAACAAATTCCAGATTTTCTCTCATTAGCTAGTGTTGGTAATGTGACCCAGGGTCTGGGCTTTCAAAGGTCTATGTGGCCCTGGGGAAGGATTGAACTGAATTCTGGGTTAAACTTAAACAAAATAGGATTTATTGAAATAAGAACAAAACAAGATGCTGGTTATCTGTAACTGTTTGGGAATAAGGAAATTATGAATAAACTGGTGAGGTATCACACACGATCTTCTTAACATTAAGATCCCACTCTTGACAGGAATATCTTCCTTTAACAGGCAGTCACACTGGCTTAGGTCTTGCACTATAGGTTCTCTTTCACCACTCTAGGTTCTCACAGACCCTTCTCATAGCTCCTTCACAACTTTAGCTTTTACAGACTTGTATTCTGAGCTCTTTGCTCTTTAAGTTTTCACACAGCCTCTGTCCCCTCACTCACTGACTCACTAACTGAATATCTCCGATTTCTCTAACTGACTTATTTGACACACACACACAGATTCACTCCA